CTTCAATAAACCATGATTTTTTTTGCTGGTTGAGGGTCTTACCTTTATGTTCATGGCTCCTGACTGATCAGAGTGATGGTTACTGAAGGTTAGAGTGGCTGTGGTAATTTGTTAAAATAAGACAACATTGAAGTTTGCTACATCTATTGAGTTTTCCTTTCATTTGAACACTTAGATGGCATTATAGGGTTTTTAATTGTTCTAATTTCAATAATATGTGTCTCAGAATTGGGGGGCCCAAGAGAGGGAGAAAGATGGGGAATGGCTGGTTGGTGAAGCAGTCAGTACACACAACATTTATCAGTTAATTTCACTGTCTTATATGGGTACAGTTTGTGGCACCCAAATTGATTACAATAGTAATATCAAAGATCACTGATCACAGATCACTGTGACAGATATAATAATAATGAAATAATAATATAATAATAAAATAATAAAAATAATGAAAATAATAATGAAAAGGTTTGAAATATTGTGAGAATTACCAAAATGTGACACAGAGACATGATGTGAGCACATGTTATTGTGCCAATAGACTTGCTAAATGTAAGAATTGCCATAAATCTTTAATTGTTTAAAAGAAAAAAAAGTAAAGCACAATGAAACGAGGTATGCCTGTATGCAGGGGTCAAAGGAACAGGCAATATAAAAATAGACAACTATTTGGTTCAGTCAGCCTATAGTTTGTTTCTCATGAATTTTTCCATTCCCACTGCTTCTCTTGGTTGTTTGTCAGCCACTTTCTTGAGGCCAAAAATACTGTGGACCTCCAATGCATGTATGCCATTGGTTTCTACCCATCAAAACTAGGACAGCTCTTCCCTGGGGCAGTAATTATATCCTTTCACCAAAACTATCCTTGGGTTACTTGATCATCTTCTTTTTGAGCTGTTAGAGAGTCCAATAGATGTGGCATTTCAAATCAAAGCTCAATCTGTCAGTCATTTATTTAACTGTCATTTATTTATTTATCAAGCATTTATTAAATGCCTACTATGTGCCAGCCAAAAACAAAAAAGGGAAAACAGTTCTGCATCCTTGGACTTTACAATCTAACCAAGGTTGACAATGAGACCACATGGGTATATGTGAAATGTTACACTAAATACAAGGTGATTTAGTGGGGAAAGCACTTCGAGTTGAGATCAAGAAAGGCCTGTAGAAGGTAGTGTGTGGATTGTACCTCAAAGGAGCCCAGGAATTCAGAGAGATGGAGGTGAGGAGAGATTCCATTCCAGGCACAGTGGGGAGGGGACAACCAGTGCATCTCAGGGATCGCCTTATTGCTTTCTATGAATAATGATTTAAGGAATTGAGAGGGGTGGAGCCCAAGTATTAGAGGCTTTCATTTCCTTCATTTCCTTCCATCTTCTGCCTAGGGCCAAGAGATGGTGAGATCCAGTTAGGCTACCTCTTAGCCAAGCTGGAAGCTGTGGAACTGTACAGTTCCATAATTCCGTGTTGCACTTGTTGGGTGTCTTGTGATAAAGATAATTAAAATCAACAGACTCCTCCCATCATCCTGATGCCTTCCCTTGCAGTTTGGACCAGCCCCTAGATAATCTTTAGGACTATACAGACTAGACTTTGGGAACAACTTTTCTAAACCCCCACAGGTTTTTTGGAACCATTACCCTCCAGTGTAATCCCAGGCTTTTAGAGTAAGGTGATTTTAAGCAATCCTAGAAGCTCTTCTGTGATTAAGATCACATCGAATATTTATTTGCTGATAAAGTCTTGGCTGTATTTTCTCTTTAAAAGAGTAAAGCCAGATTAAGTAGGAAATCCACTGGAGACTGTGAGCTCTTTGAGGGAAGGGACCATTTCTTTTTTGTCTTTGAATCCCCAGGATCTAGCCCAATGCTAGATAGCAAGTGCTTAATAAAGAGGTATTGAGTATCAGAGGTATGGTATCACAATATGTTTTGACTGGGCGTCAAGGAAACCTGGTTTCAAATCCTCCTTTTGAAATTAACTAGCTTGAGACAACCTGTCTGAGCCTTAGCACTCCCATCTCTAGGATAGAGAGGTTAAACAAAATTCTAGAAAGGCTTTTATTTGTTTGTTTATTTTTGCAAATTCTAAAGCTTTATATTAATGTCGGTTGTTATTTTTATAGTTGTTTTCACTATTATTGTAAACTTGCACAGCTAAATTAGTTTCTGCATTATGTCATTGACATGTCAAAACTTGGTAAATATTCACTGCCTTTATAGTTATTGGAATCATAGGATGCCAGAACCAGAATGGTATACCTTAGGGATCATCCAGCTCGAACCCCTACTCCAGTCAGGTGATAGTGGTGGGTGTCACATGAGCAGTGGGGCCAGGACTGGAAACTCAGCCTCCTGCCCATAGTCTGAGAGTCTTCTCCCCGGTGTCCTGAGAATCCACCAGATGCTACTTACAATAATCCCTGAGTCAGGTTCTAGATCCTATGGCCCTCCCGTTCTTTATGGACGAGGAGTGATATGAGCTATCATGGTTAAATTGAGAGAACTGCTTCCCTTGAGGATAGGTGGCGTAATGATAATGATGAGAATCATGATGATAATAATGGAAATTTATAGAGGACATTACCATTTACAGACATTATCTCATTTGATTTGCTTAATGCTACTAGGTGGGAAGTGGTCTTGTAGGCATTAGTAATCTTATTTTATAGATCAGGAAACTGACACTCAGTTGTGGTGACTTGCCCCATGTCATACCACTGCACAGTAGCAGAGCCTTCTTACTACATAGCAGCTGCCTCCAACATGGTTGTATCATTATCTTTATAGCACTAGGCAGCAGAAATGTCTAATTTTTTTTTCTCATGGTAACAAGGAGCAATATTTCATCTATTATGTTAACTTGATATTGCAAAAAAATAGGAAAGTTATTCTCTATTTTCTCCTGTGCTGTGTTCTTACATTGCCTGTTTTTTATGCTGTGAACCAAACAGTAAGGAATTTAAGTGAAACCACTAAAATAAGGATTGAAGACTATTAATCCCGACTCCTGACAGTTATTTTGTTTGTGTGCATAATATGTTGATCTATACATCTCTCTGTGTGTATGTGTATGAATACATATACATATATATATATATATATACATATATGTATTTCTCCTCTTAATTTTTATGAGGCAGCTTTAACCCTGGGGTATGTGTGATTATGTGTTGGGCAGAATCAATCAGTCAGCCCATCTGTCAGATTTCATCATGATTATAGTAAAGGGGCCCTCTGGTCAGCAGGTGCTGAGAGCATTTGTGTTACTTTCTTTATTCAGTGGAGCAATGTTCCAACAGAATTCCAGAATTTCAGACTTGAAAGTGACTTCCAAGGTTAACTGTTCTAACTTGTATCTGAACAGAAATCTCCATCACAAAATCACTAATAAGTAGTCATCCAATTTCCACTTGAAAACTTCTGTATTGGGGAATCCACTACCTTGTGAGATGGTGGACTGATTACTAGATCTTGAAAGTTAACTCAGAACCAGAGTCTGAAATAAAGGTGTGGTTAGAAAGTAATTGGGCAGTGATCAGGCAAGCATCCTGTTTAACAAAAATTTTAAATACATTCTATTGAAACGTGGAAGCTGTTCTAATATTTGGTTTGGAATATTATACATTGTGTACATCTTGGAGCAAACTAAAGGATATTGGAAAGTAGTCTGTGGCTCAGTAATTGGTATATTTCATAAACTATGTCTGAAGCCAAGACTAGTCATTCAAACATACTTTGACTAAGTCTGAGAAGAGTTAATAGGTAAAAACACAGCCAAGCCAGTGACTAGGACCACAGATACTGTGAAGTGTGCAGTTCATTCACCCTTCTCCATCCCTCATTCACACTCATGCTGCGTCTTGTTGCTGCCTTATCACAGAACCAACCAAAATCTTAGAGTTGGGAATTTGGAAATGACCTCAGCAGTCCAAGTAGTTCTTCAAAAGGCTCTTTTCATGAATACACCTGACAATAGTCATCCAGCCTTTGCTTAAAGACCTCTATTGAAGGGGAAGCTCCTGTTTCCTGGGTTTGTACAATTCCCTTTTGGCTATTTCTAGTCATTTCCAAGTTTTTCTTTTCATCAAACTGAAATTTGTCTCTTTGCCCTTCCATACATTCGGCTTCGTTTTGCCCTATGGAACCTAACAAAACAAGTATAATCCTTTTTCCACTTGAAAATGAAAGAAGTATCCTAGCAGAAAATAAATGTGAAAGAAAGAGTATTAACTGAGATATCAAGTGGCCTGAATTTTAGTCCTGTTCTGCATCTAATTAATTATGTGACTCTCAGCAAATCACTTATTCTCCCTCCTGGTTTACATTTACTCATCTGCAAAATGAGGAGGTTGGGTTAAATGATTACCAGTGGCCCTCCCAGCACTAAAATTCTGTGGCTCTAGAAAATCTCAAGAATGTGCCGTAGCAATGAAGATAATGAATGACCTTATGGATTTCTGCCACTGCTTTTAATAATCATTTTCACTTTCCAGATATTAGTCATACGTCTTTCATGTGTAAAGTAGCTTGATGTTTGCCTACTCAACTTGGCAAAATGAATTATGCTAGGTTGCCAGATATATTTATCTATAGCTAACATCTCTGTTTTCTAACCATAAGAATATTTAACATTATTTGCATTTTACTGAAATGACATCAATAGAAGGGATACTATGTCTGATAGCAAGCAGTGCCTCCAGTAGAATCTTTTGGAGGTTCTTTAAACTTTTTGTATGTTGGATGAAGGCATTTGCTTCTCAAATCTGCTATTAGTGATTAGGACTTGACTATTTCTGTTTCAGGAATCCCTGTGACATCACTGCAAACCCAGCTGAAAAGTACTTCCTTTTTAAAAAACTAGGAATTCTCTTCTTCATTGCAATCTGTGGGCTGCTATTTGTTTGTTTGGGGGGCAGGGCAGTTAAGTTTTTTAAGCCTTTGTGTTATTTTTTGAAATGCTAATAGAGAATGATCTGAAGTTTTGTTTTCTGCATGTGGTAGCCCAGGGAAACCCAAACATGAGTGGTTTCTACAGAAAGATTCCGAAGGAGACACACCTTCACTTATCAACTGGCCTTCCAGGTATCTCTCAGATTGAAACCGTGTGATTAGTTACTGCTTCTGTTGCTTCTGTTCTTTTTTCTTCTGGTTCTTCTCACCCATCATTTCATACCAGTTCCCTGCTTTTCAATGTCTGTGTTCTAGAAATGTGTTCAACAAATGACTACAAGAAGTCATTCCATACAAACCTGCTTGATCCCTCCCATTTTCCTGCCTGCCACTCACACATTTCTCCTTTCCCTTTCTCTTCTCTCCCCTCCTCTCCTCTCCTTTCCTCTCCCCTCCCCTCCTCTCCTCTCCTCTCCTTCTCTATTCTCTTCTCTCTCTCCCCCTCCCCCCTCCTCCTCCCTCCCTCTTCTTTTTTATTCCTGTAATTCCTTTTCCGTTCCTCCTTCTCCTTGGCCTTCTGATACTTAATTGAACAATCGTGTGTTTGGTGAAGAACTAAACAGCATTTTGAGTGGGTTTTCCCCCTCCTAGTTGTTTTCCTTTGGGATCTTTCTAACTTCCAACATGTTCCTCATCTTGTCTACCCCAACCTTAGCCTGCTTTCATTTCCTCTGCCATCCACACTAACAACTTGTTTTTGGTGGCCTTTCAAAAAGGCAAATTCAGGGTGTGGCTTAAAAAACAGATTTTTAAAATCCACTACAATTTCATTTTTAAGGTGGGGGAAGGGGGAGGAGGAAAGAGTAAGAATGAATAAGACCTTAAGACAAAGCTCCTATATACAAAGTTTCAAACAGACCCTCTGCTCTAGTCTGGTGATAGCATCCAAATTGTCCCTAATTAGAAGCACACATTCCCCTGGGAAGTTTAAGCCCCATTGCAACCATCTTTTGATTAACAAATGTTATGAATATGAAAACCTCCAACATTGCCTATTTTCTAGGAGGAAATAATAGCTGACTGTGCTTATTTCCAAGGCTTTGGGGAATAAACAGCCTTTTGTGTGCTTCTTTGCTTTTTAAAAATGAAGAGGGACATTGTAATCACAGGCATTTCGCATCCTGTGTCAAAAGAGCATCCATCACAGCTGGGAAAAACCAGGTTATTTAGAAAAAAATCTATTCTTTTTTAACATATATGTTGCAATTGAAAATGACCTTGCCCGCTAGTGTTGATATGGGTGAACTCTTTGATTTGTTTTTAGAAATGACTTTTTCCCTTGCCCTACCAATTCGTCGTTTAAAAAAAAAGTCAGTATCAAGTAATTAGGTATATTCTCCACCCATATGTGTGTGTGTGTGTGTGTGTGTGTGTGTGTTCCTTTATTCCTGCTTTAATGCAGAATACTTGAGCAAAGTGTAGACCTTGAAGTGACTTTAGTAACTTTCAGAAAATAGTTCTGTACTTATTCTAGGGCATTTATATGGCTCTAGAAATTATAGTCATGCCCACTTTAGATTTTGAAATATATAAACTGGTGGCATATTTCAAAAGGTGGTTTTGTTTTGTTTTGCCAAATGTAATGCCACTTTTCTTCTCACTTCTCCAAAGATCAGCAGCAACAACTGTCACAATTGGGACAAGCGTCTGATTGTCTCAGCCTGACATTTGGAATGTTGCTGCTACTGGAACTTACTACATCTATTTTCTACCCGTATGTTATCAGACCCCACAAGTATGTACCCAAATCAGAGTCGGCAGAGAAATCCTCCAGTCAGACCCTTCCTTTTTGTGGATGAGAAAACAGACCCATGGGGTCAAAATGACTGCCTATGGTCATACAGATACTTAGTGGCAGAGTTAATGATAGCTTTCTTCATCTAGTGCCGTCATACAGCAATAGCCATAAAAACCTTTAAACATTTTCCCTTCCCATTTTTTCACTCAAAACTAAAATGGCAGCTCTCATGCTCTGAGTGTTCATGCTTTTATTTGCCTCTGTGCAACAATGTGCTATTATTCTATTTGAGGAGAGGAATTTGTATGTCTCTATTTTAGAAATGATTAAAACTTCGTATGTATTGTTTGAAAAATATGAACGGTTAGCTGGTGCAAAAGGAGTTCTCAAGGATGATTTGGTTTTTTTCCCTCCTTGCTTGCTTTATTCTGAAAATAGTCCTGAAATTTTGAATCATCTTCTAAGTGATAATGAAATGACAATGATTTTATTTATTGGAAGTGTGTATAGGTATAAAAATGTCTCTGTTAGCCCATATTTGAGACTATGCATGTCTGAAGACATGCTAATCTCTGCACCCTGGAATTGTACTTAGGTTTGTTGACCCTCACTTCTGGATTTTTGTTACAAAAATTCAGAAACAAAACAAAGCAAAACACTTTGCATGGGTTACTGGAAATTGGAAAACATGCCAATGGAGTGGGGTACATAACTTGGAAGTTTAATAGGCACCTTTGATTCAGCATACTGCATATTCCCCTTTATGCCTTCAAATTCAGAGGGCATAAAATATTGAATTACTTTCCTTGTCCTTTATGGTCCACGATTGATGCATGCTTTTCTCCCCCTTCAAGCGTGACTGTGTTTTATGGTTTTCACCCTTTTTCTTTCTTAAAGAGTAAAAGTTAGAGAGAAATTGGTGAAAGAGGAAAGTGCTCGCAGCAGCCCTGAATGTACCTCAGATTCTTTACCTCAGAGGAAGCACCAGCCAGCCTCAGTCCATTGCATGTCTCTGCAGTCAGAAACATCTGCTTTTGACAGGGTGACCAGCAAGCCAGTCACTTCCACCCGCCAGCCAATCCATGGCTACATTCAGCGGGCTGGTCATGCTTACACTGCTAAGCTGGTAGCCTCTGAAAAACTAGAGAGTTTCTCTGGTAGCAGCCAGGCGGAACCAGCCGCTCCTGACATAACAAAATGTCCCGTGCCGAGTGCTACAGAAGAGGGAGGAAAGGATGAGAACATTGAGCTTCATATCTATGAGTCTGATACCAAAGAAGATACCTTTAGAACAGAAGCACTTGGGAAAAGCAGGAAAACCTACCTTGAGGCTCACGAGCAGGTGAAGAATGGCGAAGACTCTTCTGGAAGTAGCAACCAAAGGAGGCCAACAGTTAGCTCAGCTATCACAAGCAAGCAGAGAACCAATGCCTTAGAACCTTGGCAGAACCTTGAGAGCCAAGCCCAACCATCCGAAACCCAGGACCAGCCCCCTGAGCAAATTGGAAGGAGTGAAACGGTCATATATATACAAAATCCACCTGCTTCTGAGGCCACTCCCCCCAAACACCGCAAGCAGGAAGTCTCCACAATGAAGCACAAACTCTTCACTCGATCACTCTCTGATCACACTGGTGACCCCAAACCAGAAATCTTTAAATGCATGGAAACCGTTTCAAAGAAAGAGCCACAGTTTCAGCATGCAGGAGATGAGGCACAGCCTGGCGAAGTTGGCACAGTGGACACAAAAGTCTCTGTTGCCCAGCTCCGAAATGCCTTTCTGGAGTCTACTAGTGCCAACAAGAAATCTGAACTGTAGGTGACATTTCAAAAATATTCCTGGTGTGTCACTTGCACGCTCTTGGCAGTTTGTTTTTTCCCCTCACAATCTCAACATTCTTTGTGTCCTGCGTTGAAGCATATAGCTTAGCTCACAGACACATATAAGGCAGACTGGATGAGGAAATAGCCCCAAATCTACTCTTTTGCTTCTGCTTGCTAATGGAACAAGTATAATATTGATCAGCTGGAATGATTGGGTTTTTTTTTACCTTATTTTCATGCATGATAGAGGCATGCAGAGTGAATTAACAGTATCAGTGGATTGAGATGCATATATCTATGCTTTTATTCTATTTCTCTTTCTTCCTGTTTTCCTTTTTCTGTGTACTTTCTGTCCTCTGACTGTAAAAGTCAATCACGGGTTGAGCGGTCAACCACAGGGATTGATTTACCTACCAAAACGGAATGGGAGAGAGGGTCCCGGAAGCCGAGACGGTATTTTTCTCCTGGCGAAAGTAGAAAAACTTCTGAGAGATTTAGAACTCAACCTATAACTTCAGCAGAACGAAAGGAGATGGATAGGTAGGCATGTGTGTATATAGTTCTATAGGGAAAATTATGGTGTACTATCAAAAAAAAAAAATTCATAGAGGTGGTTCCAACATCACTTTAACAGAATTTTGGTTGTTGTTTCTGTTAACTATAAATTAGCAAAACCAACAAAACAAAACTTGACTGAAATTTGTTTGACTTGTTAAAAACATTTCTTTAAGAAAGTTGCAGATTGAATTGCAATAGTGTTCCTTTTAAAATAACAATACTAATTATTCAATTCTGAAGTTGTATAGAATTGTAAAAGAAATTGACAGTAATGCTTTTATGAAAAGAACATAAACTCAAATCATTTATATACAAACCTTTTATCCCATTTAGTTTTTATAAAATGGAAAAATGACCATTTTCAAAGTAAAATACTGCTTATTGCAGCTGTTGCCATTCATTCTTGCAAATGATGAGGTAGTTTTGATGCACCTGATTTTTTGCTAATAAATTGTTGTGACATCCTCAGTCTCATGTATAGAAATGGTAAGAATTTGCCCCTAACTTAAATGTTAATCACATTTTAAAAGATGTACTTGGTCCTCATTTCCCTCCACAAATTCTATGTTTTGCTGTAACTGCTTCCACCTACTCTGCCATGTCAACGGTGACTGCAAATGAGTTGCTCACAACCCAAATGCTACCAGGGTTATTTTCTTCTTCGTCAGAATATCATTATCTTTTTCTTTTTACCTTAAAAATGATGATTCATTTGTGTCATCCTCTCCAAACTAATTAATTTTCATTATTATTATTATTATCATTTTTAGATCCACTTCAAATTCAGAAATGCCAACTGCTGAGGGTAAGAATATCTATCCATAATACTACTACTGATACTAATATATCTTCTTTTTGAACCTCTCTTTCAACTTTAGATGAAAAAAAAAAAGAATTTAGGTTTTGGAACAAATAACATTACAAACTGTCACATGACATATTAGGTGCCTATCTGCTTTCCTTGTCAAATACATCACATTTCAGCACAATGGAGAATTAAGTTGCCAGGCCTTGAATAATCTTGATTTTTCCCCCACTGGGTTCTTAGACACAAGGGCTTTCAGAAACGCTTTTAGAAAATAGTACAGAAAAAGTGATTTAAACCAAAAAGGCATATTTTTCTTGTTGTTAATGTCAGTTAATATAAAAAGGAAAGTGACTAATGAATTTATCAATCCTTTCCATAAAGCTTATCTGTCTTTTTAAAAATACGATTTTATTGATATATTCTGTTTTTACATCATTTACATTTCTCAATGTGCTATTTCCCATGTCCCTCCCAGAGAGACATCCCTTATATCAAAGAATAAAAAAAAGAGGGGGAAAAAAACATTCAGCAAAACTAACCAACATAATAGAAAGAAGGGACATTATTGATAGAGTTTCACACTCATAATTCTCCACCTTTGCAAAAAAGAGTTGGGGTAGGTATCTTCTTAAAACTATTTTTTGGGAGCTAAACTTAGTCATAACTTCCCAGGATTCAGTCATTTTGTCATTGTTGTTCTTTCTTTTGTAGTCATTGTGCATATTTTTCTAGTTCTGCTTCCTTCATTTTGTATCCATTCATATACATCGTCTTATGTTTCTTTTTTTTTCATCATATTCACTATGTCTTACACCACATTAATTTTCCATTACATGTACTGCAATTTGTTCAGCCGTTCCCCAATCAATGAGCATTCACTTTGTTTCCAGTTCTTCCAAATTATGAAAAGTGCTGTTATAAATGTTTTTGTCATCTCTGGGAAAATATCCTTAAAGCAAAATTACACAGTCATTTATTGGAAAACCAGGGAAACAGGAAAGGGATTATTATTCCTGGTGATTGCAATAAACATTTCTTAATTGAAGCTTGATTCCAGTTGAAAATGTTACTGATTGTTATTTTTCTTAGTAAACTTACTATTGTGGTTTAAAAGGACTAAATGCTTAAAATGGAAAACTTACATGATTTTTAATTCATTGTTCTTTGCAGATGAAGAAAAATTGGATGAACGCGCCAAGCTGAGTGTTGCTGCCAAAAGGCTTCTTTTCAGGGCAAGTGTGCAGGCTAGGCCATCTTTCTAAAAATCTTAGTACAGAGAATCCCAGATGTTAGCATTAGAAAAGGCATCAGGGGTGATCCAGGTCAATGTATACCCCAAGCATAAATCCCACTCTGCAACATTCAGGCTCTGTTTGAGTACTAATTGAAAGCACTATTCAGCCTACCACTTCCATCTACAGCTCACAGGTCTGTAGTTAATGCCAGTTCATGAGAGGTTCTAAAAGCTATCCTGTCCTGTCCTGCATAGCATTCCAGCTGTGCCCTTGAAGAGTTTTCAGGGGCTATATTTTTACTCCCTCCATGGTGCCAGTTTTCACAGCATGTTTGTGTTGCTGGTAATAAGAGCTACCTCTCAAGAATGACACCTGGCAAACACCAGGGAGAAACTCAGCAGACACATTTTGCTAGGGCAGTCTTCTTCTTCCCCAGGTCAGACATTCAAACATATTTCTAATCCTAGGAAATGGAAAAATCATTTGATGAAAAAAATATTCCAAAGCCACGTTCCAGAAATGCAGCCGTGGAGCGACGCCTGCGCCGTTTGCAGGACAGATCTCACACACAACCCATCACCACTGAGGAAGTGGTCATTGCAGCAACGTAAGTCTCCCTCCTGTGTTGGACTTGGCTTAAGATCCTGTTTTGGAAGTTAAGAGCCAGTGGGGGAGATCATCAAGTGAAAGTTTGTGCCTAGACAATGACTTTCTTCCCTCTAGCCCGTGACTTTCTAAATATAGTACTTCTTCCAAGGAGATTTAGAACCTGAAGAATTACCTAGCAGGAGACATCTTGAGTAATGGCAGATTTGGGGTTTGGTCTTAAATCTACAGCCAATTTGTACCCCAGTGTGCAGGAAATTGGCTTTAACTTCAATTCCATCTTGTTCAGGGATTTTTTTTTATTACAGTTTACTACCAGGTCTCCCTTAACTTTAATATTTTGTTACCTGAAGGTCCTGTCAAATGCTGGCAGGCCCTGCCAAGTGGGAAGGGCTTAGAGTAAGAGGCTAGCAATGGATGATGTGTCCATTGCCTGAGGACCAGACTGACCAATTCCAGATATACTCATCTTCAGAAGGTTGGCCACCAACCGAATTTTTTTGACCACAACAATTCATGAGGACAGTTGACTAAGGGTGGTCTGCATCAATGGAGGGAGGCCCCCAGCCACAGTGAAAGCAGAGATCCTGGCATTTTGAAATATTTTCTTATCTTATATTTAGCCTTAATTTAACAACAGACAACAACAGCAACAACCCAAATTCATTCAGGGAGTTACTTCTTTCCCTGAGAAAAAGATTTTAGATTTGTTGTTGTTGTTCCTGTTCTTGCCTCTTATGAATTTGCCCAACGTAGCCCCCTACCCAAACCATTCTTGACATCTGTTGTACAGAAGTGTAGATCACTTGAGTTATTGACACCTTCAAGTGGTTCTTGTCATGCCTTATGTGTTAAGTTCTATGAACTTCATGGCCATAAAGTGAGACATTCATAATGCCCCTGTTTTCCATACATTAAAATTATGTGGGCTTGGACTAAGTTCTCTCCAAACATACTGCAGTTCATGTTAAAAAAAAAATGATAATAATCATAGTAGTAACCGGGCATTACCTCTGGGAAGAAAAAGTAAACTCAAGCAAAAAAGATCAAGGTACAGGATCAAGAAATACTACTTTTGCTATTCCTCTATCATGTGATTAATAGAGCGGTGGTTGAATTAATGAAACATTAAGTTAATAAAGAAAACTGTTGACCAGTTGACAATCTGTTAATTCACTGGTAGTTTATTCAATTGATGATTGATATTAGGTGGTTCATGGACTTTAACTATTAGAATGTATATGACTTCCATTTCGATGGATGCTCCTGTTGGGTAAGGACTGTTTTTTTGCCTTTCTTTGTATCATCACTGCCTAGCACAGTGCCTGGCACATAGTAAGTTCTTAGTAGATGCTTACTGATTGACTGAGAACCTCTACAAATAATTTGGTTTAGAGCAGGATGACCAACTTTTAGGTAAATTCCATATCTTAGGGTTTGTGTCTTCCAGTTTCTTTTCAAATTCTGTTGTAATTTTGTGAAAGTCCTTAGCAAAGAGCTTTGTAAAACTATTTATTTGTTTTATCTTTTCTGTACATAAAATCGTGCTTTCCTTAATGCTTCTTTTCTTCTCTCTCTTTGTGAATTTTCCATCTTTGGCAATTGCTTTTAAAGGGAATCTATCCCTGCTTCACATTCTGTGACCAGCCACACTGTCATGCCAAGAATCCCTAATCCCACTGTAGTTAAGAGTCCTGTACAACCTACCAGGTACTGGAGAGAAACACCCGCATGTGGCATTGAATGCAAACTGCTAGACAGCAAACACAGCTTTAAAATCTTAAACGTCTTTCATATGTTTGACAAGTCAATGCAATGAGTTGTTCTAGGAATGTGTGGCATTTTGTTTTGTCATAATGTAGAGTACTGATAACTTCATTTCGGCCTGCATGAGGAAATTCAGTTTGTTTGCTTTTGTGTTAAGTGTTTGGCCTTGGACCACCCTAACTTCACTTACCCATTTTGTTTCCCATAAAGAAATTCATTTCAAAAGAATTGCATCTAGAGGGAGTTAACAGTCTTGCATGTGTTAAAGAAAGAATGGGAACATCTTATTTTTATGTTTTGTTTTTTATCTTGAATCCAAGAGGTAGCTATTTCTTTCTCAAGTAGCTTGTATGTTGATTGCTGCCTATTTCCAATTCATAACCTCTTGCAATACGAAAGAATAACTTGAGGCAGCTAGGTGGCGCAGTGGATAGAGCTCCAGCCGTGGAGTCAGAAAAACCTAAGCTCAAATCCGACCTCAGACACATAACACTCACTAGCTGTGTGACCCTGGGCAAGTTACTTAAGCCTGATTGCCTCACCAAAAAGCAAAAGAAAAGAATAACTAATGATACGATTATCCCCAGACAGGTGGGCAGCTTTTACTCTTCCTCTTTTACAACCTGTATTCCAGTACTTTAAGTTTTTGTAAATGGTCTTGTTTCAGTAAACACATGATGGTAGAATATGGTACAAGTCAGAGGAAAGAACAATCAAAGAATGGGAAATGCTGATACCAAAATGTAGCTGGTGAAACCTGTACAGAATCAGGACTCCCTTTGGGAAGTATTGAAATGCCAGTTAGAGCCACACTGAACCAGAAAGACAACCAGTACCCCAACATTAATGGCTCCATCCTCCACTGGGAACAGAGATACTGTGCCAGGGTCTGGGGTACTTTAGTGAGGATTTAGTAGTTAATTAGTCCATGCCAGGTTGCACTAATTATAAAGTCCAGAGATAGTATCTAGCAAGGGAGGCAAACACCTTTGTGAACATATTCCTGAGTTTAGGGTGATTAAGTAAGTCATGGGCCCCCATCTTCAGGCAGAAGTGGAATAAATTTGTTCCTTTCTTAAAAGCTTCTTTTGGCATTTACTGGGAATTTCAGATGTATGTAGATTCTGAATATCAATAGAAACCTATAGGAGAAATTGCTCTGATGAATAGCTGAGAAGAATCTCTCAATTGAATCTAGTTTGACCCACCCCAGTGAATATCTCAACCCCCATGGTGTGTAGACCAGGCTATGGATAAGAAGACTATTCTGTTGCCCATTCCTAAATAAACTGGGGGAGGGAAAGTTAACTACAGGCATGTATGTCTCATGAGATGTTTCCTTTGGCCTAATTTATTTTTGACACTTAGAAATATACAAATTTTCCTTATAAACAAGAATGTGCATCCCCAGCATCCTTTACCTTTTTTGACAGTGAATTGTTTCTTTGTTTGCTTGTTTTAAGAACAAGCAATGTCATAACTCACTCCGGGCTCTTCATTGACGATAATGTTGCTGTCTCACTGGGGCTGCCCTGGAGTTCTGAAGAAGTCAGCTCCGTCACTGTATCCCTGGCTGTTCTACTTAGTTGCTGAATGACTGCATATAGTTACCCTCGCCATTTCTTTGTTTAGGGGCCAAATAGGAAACGACAAACCCTTTAGAAAAAAATTAACAGAGCACATTTTTATGACAATGATTTGAGGGCATTAAACCATAAACTAGTGGGTGTGTTATGGTTTTTTCTCCCTATTTGTAAACTGACTTTGTGTTACTTTCAGTTTGCAGGCATCGGCACACCAAAAGGCACTAGCTAGAGAGCAGGCAAATGAGGCCAAAGATTCTGCTGAACAAGGTGAACCTGATTCCTCCACTCTGAGCTTAGCAGAGAAGCTGGCCTTGTTTAACAAATTGTCTCAGCCGGTCTCAAAAGCGATTTCTACCCGAAACAGAGTGGACACTAGGCAGAGGAGGATGAATTCTCGTTACCAAACTCAACCAGTCACACTTGGAGAAGTGGAACAGGTGTGTACACGCTGACCGATTTTTACTTACTGCCTCCTCTGATGGACAAAAGAGCTCAAATGTTCTCTTTTAGCTATTGGTTTAGGGAGTTTAAGTGACCTACCTCTAAACTCCATTAGCCTGTAGGTGTTGCAGTGATTTTATCCCAAGAAAGAAGGCTGCCAGTAATAGTTCCTTTTTATTTATTCTTCAAAAATAATTTGGAGAGAGTTTGCTATAGTGGAGGGACAAAAGAATGACCTTTCTTTTACCCTTATTCCCTTTTTCCTTTTAAGGAGACTTTATGTAACTATGTTAAGTAGTTTTTATTCATCCTTAATATTCTTTCCATCCTCCCAACAGGACTTGTGAAAGCCACCACTGAATGTGGTGGTCTTCTCATATGAATCTGGAAGTTAGACTTATGTGAGTTATATTTTTTTTTTAATCGATCAGGTTCAAAATGGAAAACTCACTCCCTTCTCCCCTACTATTAACACATCTGTGTCTACTGTGGCATCAACAGTTGCTCCAATGTGTGCAGGGGATCTACGAGCTAAGCCATCGGGGGAAGAAAATGCAGGTGCTGCTGACTTTGCATTCCATTCAACGATGGAAAATGCAGACGCCCCAGTGAAGAGCATCCTAAAGTCACAAGTGTGGCAACCTTTGGGAGAGGATATCAGAAGTCATCGAGGATCGAGGGAATTTGGAGAGACGGAAGCTGAAAGAGTCCTAGCTCAAGATGAGAGTGAGATGAAGAAGAACAGGTCCTTTGAGGAAGAAGGGAGTTCCTGCTTCTTCCCAAATAAAAGTGGGGAAAGGGACAACCAAAGAAAATTTGCTCCAAGAAAAGGTAGCATGGAGCACACTGACCTCCTAGTGCCATGTCATCATGAAGAGCTTCGGGGGTTTTTGGTCTCCAAAAGCACTGGGCAGGGCAAACAGGACCTGAAGGAAATGCAGTCCTTGGAAGAGAAGATGGATTTGGAGAATGGCACAAGAAGCAGATTCATGCTAAGAGGTAAAAGGGATTTTCTATAAACTTCTTGTTCTCCCCCTGGATTTTTATAAACTAGTTGTTGTTGGGTTGTTTGGTTTTTTGAGGTTTTTTTTTTTTTTGCTTGATTTGCTATATTTGCTTCCTAAATCACAAGTACTAGCAGAGATTTGAAAAATCTATATAACACATGACAACTCAAAATTCTCCTTTTTACTCAGAGTGTTTCAGTGTGTTAAAAGCAAAACTTTTTATTCTTATACTAATACCTGGAAATTCTGTAAGGTGTTTCACTAATTTTAGTCAGTATTTTACATACATTATTACCCTTCTTCTCCTCACAACATTCTATGAATCAGAGGCCAGGCCTTTTATCTCTTTTTATTTTTAAAAATGGTCATTTTTTTTTTAAATAACAGATTGATTGACTCAATTTAACCCAGTGGAGTCTGAGCTCAGGGGCTCCTGCCTTCAAGCCCCACCTCCCCTGGACACTTTTCTTCTCTTTATGCAACACTGTGAAACAACAAAGGCATATTTAATTGTTGTTGTTGCTGTTGTTTATTGTTACACAGCCCCATTATCAATCGCAAAGCCAGAAGGGTTGCTCCCAGGAAATCTAGAAGTGCCCATAGTTAACTTGAACTTCCTGTGTGCTAACTATGAGAATAGGATCAATTGTCATTAAATAATTTGCCCTGCAGTCCTTGGGTGATTTGTGCTTTTAAAACCTGATGGGCTGCATATTTTCATAGAGCTCAACATGCAAAGAACTGACTGCTTGGCATGGTGGATAGAAAGCGGGACTCAGAGGTCAAGGTCCTCTTCTGATATTTGCTAGCTAGGTGAACATGGACCAATCACTCCACCTTTCCAAGCTTCAGCTTCCTGTATTGCAAAATAGGAATAATGGTCCCATGTGACCTGCCTCAACCAGACGTGGTATGGCAGTCAGGAGAGAGAACCGGCTTTAGAGTCATGAAGGTGGGGCAGATCACTTCACCTGTCAAGGCTCCCTCGCCTCTTCCTCTCCCCCCCGCTTTCCTTTCATCCTCCCCCTCCCCCCATACCACCTCCCAACCCCAACTCTCTAAGACCATTAGGTGCAGCAGAGGTGCTGATTTGCTCTGGTAAAAAGTTTCTTCCTGAGAATACCCTTCACCAGTGAAACCATATGTCTGAACAGAAACAGAAACCTTTGGTCATGGATTTATTGTGAGTAGCAAATGAGATCATGTATGGAAAGCACTTTGCCAATCTTTAAGCTTTATATGAATATTTTTAATACAGAGGCTGTCCCTGATGTTAAGAGCCCTCCTCTCTCACCTTGGCCTCTTGGGATCCTGAATGCCCTTCAGGGTTCAGCTCAGGCCCTGCTTCCTACAAGAACCCTTTCTGGGTTTTGTGCACACTCTCTCCTGACCACCCGATGACTTTATATTTATTTCTGTTTTGTTTTCCCCACAGTAGAATGGAAGCTTTTAAAAGCTGGGACTTTTGAATTTTTGTCTCTGAATGCCTAGTACATTGGTAGGAGCTTAATAAGTACTTGTGGAATTAAATGATCAGTTCCTAAAGTTGGCTGTGCAATCTCCCACGTGATGTCCGTGGTCTGAGTTTGCCACCCTTGATTGTTACAGAGTTAATGGGTCTGAGAATGCCAGCCTGAAGACATAAGTGCTAATGCTGCATTCTCCTTTTCAATGAGCAGAGCCTGCTGAGCCCACGTCCGAACTCCTTGGCACGACAGCTATGAAAACTGTTTCTCAGACCACAGCCCCGGTCTCCGGTAGACGAGAGTCTTTGGAACAATCAGAGGAAAGACTCTCCAAGAATCCATGTAGGATGTTTGCTGGTGGAGAGAGCAAAGTATCAGAAGATGCCCTTGATGCATCTAGCAAAACAATGTCAATCAAAGAAAGGTAACAATCTCTTTATTTCGTCTACCCCATTGAGAAGTGTGGAGCTTACTTTAACAGATAGCTTCATGAAGAGCTATTGTTTAAAATGACTAATTAAATTGCTTACAAAGATGTGGTGTCATATTAGCATGTTTTAAGGAGATGGGGTTATTCAGTGGTGAACCACATTTACCCAATGGCAGATCTAATAACCACATGTTGAGTGCCAGGTCTAGAAAGAGTCTGATGCAGGAAATAGGGGTACAGTTTTGTTTTGTTTTGTTTTGTATTTTTTCAACAAGGACTTACTATTTTTGTGTGATTTAAGTACTGTTTATTTTAAGTTTAAATTTTTGCAAATTTCAAAAATACAGCCAAGTTACACAGCTTAGCCCAGTGCCTGGCACAAAATAAGCACTTAATAAATGCTGGTTGATGGTCCTTGAATGCTGGATTTGCCCACAGCTTTTGCTTTCATTCTATGGAAAGTATGTGTGCATGAAGAGGCAGTGAATTTATATTCTTCCTGAGAATGGCAGCACCTAGGATCCAACCTTCAGTTTTGTTTATTTTTAGGGCAAGTAGACTGAATGAGTTTCTGTAGTGTACAGTGAGAATTTATTCCAGGCAACAGCTCTGAAAGATTACATTTGAGTGGCAAAACTGCAATACCCTCATTTTATTCAGAAGAATGAAATGGGATTGAGGAGGATATATTTAAAGGTAGCAGTTATCGAGAACAATGAGCTAAACATTTTCTGGATATATTTCCTCTTTTAACCTCCAGTTACAGTAGAATTAAACTGCGAAAGATTTAATAGCGATAAAAGTACTGGGTGAAAGAAGGTCAAGTTAATTTCGCCGTGTGATTTTCAGAAATGCTTCAGTCCTCTGTTCCTGTGGCTCTGCCAGTCCAGACACTTGTTTATCACAGCCCACCATTTAGAATTTTTCATTGGCTCTGTCAATCATGTTGGGCTCTCCTCCTTTCTTCTAGACAGATTTCAGATTGTCCTGGTCTTATTTTTCTTTCTTTTTTTTTTTCTTTTTGGTCTTATTTTTCAAAAAGAAGGAAAACCTCTTTCTAATGCTCTTCATGGGTCCAGACTTTTTTCTTTTAACATTAGATACATGAAGACATCAAATAGAAAGAACTTTTTTCATTTGATCTCCAAATGAAAGCACATTCATTCAGACACTTAACAATTGAGAATCAATCCTATCTCCTTGGCCGATCATGCTATCGTACAGTCTAGAGCTGAAAAATCCCTTAGAAACTCATCTAGTCCAAGCCCATATTTTATGAAGGAGGAACAGAGGTCTGGGGACAAGTTACTTGGTCAAGGTCACACAGATAACAGTGGCAGAAACTGAATTCAGAACCCATGTTTTCTGATTCTAAGTGTAATGGCATTTCTGTTACATTAAGCATTCGATGAATACCGACTTAACTGTGCTTTATTTCTCTTAGCCTAGCACAGTACTCTGTCAGCTGTAGGCATTTAATAAACATTTGTTTTATGTGGGTGGCCATTAGTTCTTACCCATTTACCAAAGCACTAGGAAGATGGGCTGGCTTTTCCTCTTTCGATAACATTATGTGTGCATACTTGAAACTAACAATACTTGATTCTTTCTCCTTGCCTTATACTTAGAGGCACTGGTTAGTGGCAGAATTGAGACTAGAGCCCATCTCCTGACTGCCAGTTCAGTGTTCTTCCCACTGCACCAAAGAAGCATTAGAATGAAGTGATGATGGATTTTGGATGTGTAATCAAAGTCAGAATAAGTGAACCATAATTTTCTAGGAGATAACGTTTGTGAGTATAAAGGTCAATGGTGAGAAAGAAGTAAATTTGGTAGAAGTGAGCTCCCAACATCATTTTTTTCAGCTAGTGTTTTCTGAGAATTTTGTTGGAAAGGGAGGGGAAATGCTATCTGTGATCAAGTCTTGAATGACCTGGTGACACTTCCTTCTTACGGGTCTCACATTTCCAAGATGACAGCAGTGATGCTGACTTAATGGGCTTCACTGCTTGGTCAATACTTACTCAATTTTGCTCCTTTACCTTCCCTATTCTGACCATTTTGTTGCCCTTGTATGGAGTTAACTGTATAGGGTTAGCTTCCTGTATTTGACACACTTGGATCTACTAATTTTTGTTGTTTAGTTGTTTTGGTTCATGTCCAACTCTTCATGACCCCATTTTGAGTTTTCTTGCCAGAGATGCTGGAGTAGTTTGCCATTTCCTTCTGTAGCTCATTTTACAGATGAGGAAACTGAGGCAAACAGGGTTAAGTGAGTTTCCCAGGGTCACAAAGCTAATAAGTGTCTGAGACCAGATTTGAACTCAGGTCTTCTTGACTCCAAGCCCAGCACCCTATCTCCTACACCACATAGGTCCAATTTGAAAGATTTTTTTTCTTAGATTGTGCTTTTTGCTGTATGTTAGTAATCTTCCACCAAAAGTTCCTTTTTACTCATTTTTCACCTTTTAACAATAACAACTTCTATAACTGTGAATGATACATAGTTTCAGCTAATAACTAGTTAACTTTGTTTCCACTGAATGAATAATAATTTTTAAAAACACTCATAAGTTCTTATCTCTTCAAATTTTATGTGTGCGTGTGAGTTCAAAGGGGAACTTATTGGGAAAAAAAACATCTAGGGAAATCACATTTCTCAAATCCAAAATCAGGGAACAGTCTGACAAAGTCTCTTCCTTTGCCAAACTTCATTAAAAGTACTTTTTCTTTTCCTGAAATGTAGACCATCCCAAGATATCCATACCATAATCTAGGAAAGCATTTCGGAGTTATTTAGTGTTGGAGAATGTTTAAAGTATATTTTAAATTATAATAAGCTCTTAAGAAACTTCATGACTCCAGAAGAGCTGCATCTCTAGTTTTTTAAATGGACGGAAAAGACTAAAGAAGACAACATACCTCTCTTTGGAGGGAAGGCTGGGGGGTAAGAGAGAACTTTCTTCAAGTCCGTTGAATCCTTATTCTGACCTTGTAGCTCTTGGACTCCTATGAGATTCAACATGGTAGATCCGGGCTGGAATTCTGGATAATATTTTGTGTTTTATAACTGCCTTTCTCCCTTTACACACTAGATTGGAGGAAGAGGCCATGACCAAAAGATAGGGCTTCTAGGAATTGTAATGCAACTGGATACTTCAGCCACTAGAGGGCCCCAGATTAGTACAATAATGACTTGGAGCCCGATCTTACTCACTAGTTCATCCCACTCCCACCCCTTCCCTCTGCCCACAAGCATCCAAAGCTAAGTTCCAATGCAGGGCTGCGCTGGCCCAGCTGAAGCTTACATTGAATGGGATGCTGAAATGATGACTAGGACGTTGTACAAGGGGGAGAGATAAGGAAATGGTATTTAACCTGAAGGATTTTACTTGCCACGCACTTGACTTAGTCTTGGCATACAAGCATATTCCAAGGATTGATTAATGCTCCAGCAGAGCCCTCAGACAGACAGGTAGATTTTTTTTTTTAATTGGGAAATTACAAGCGGATGAAAAGATATATATATATGTATATGTATATATATATGTATGTATGTATATATGTGTGTGTGTATATATACACATATATATACATATATACACATATATATACATATCTATATCTATATCTATATATATAGCTGAGGATAAATTGTACTGACTTCCCCATGCTGAGGGCCAGCCCTGATTGGTAGCATCTTCTCTTTTCTGGTATGGAGAGAACATATACCACAGGGGGAGGATGAGAAGCATAGAGGGTAAAGACATTCTTTTCCTTTGAAGGCAGCTCCTCTCTACCTTTTCCAATGCTTCCTGTATACCACCAAATAGCCCAATGAAAAATATGCTCAAGTCAGGAGAGACCAAGGTTGGAATCCTAGCTCCAACTGCTACTAGCTATGTGCAATGCTGGGAAGTCATTTAACCTCTTTGATTCTCAATTCTCTCATCTGTAGAATAAGAGTGTGTGTTCATACCACCTGCCTCTCAGAGGTGTTCTGAGGAAAAGGCTTTTGTAAACTTTAAAGGGGTACAAAAATGTTTAAGAGGAGGTGAGGTTGCACAGTGGTAAGAGCCCTGGACTTGAGTCTGAATCCTTCCTCAGACATATTACAATGCTATATAACTGAGCAAGTCACAACCTCTGCCTCAGTTTCCTCATCTATAAAATAGGAATGATTATAACACATACTACCCAGGGTTGTTGTAAGGACCAAATGAAATAAAATATGAAAAGCACTTTGCAAACCTTAAAGTGCTGCATAATGCTAGCTATGATGAAAATGATGTGACTAGTTATTATCTTTAAAAAAAAATAAAAGAAAAAGAGGACCAGCTAATCCCTGATCAGACATAATAGGGGTGGGAGTTACTTCCTGTTAGCCCCTTTCTAGACATGATTTTAGTAGGTCATTCACTGGCATTCACAGCCCCGGACAAATCACCCTTTTCACCATCCTCAAGATGCACAAACAAGTGCTTGGATTTGACGGAGCTAAACAACCCTGACAATTGCTGGAATTGCCCAGGCAGTAATGGATCTCATGTGTGGGGAGAGATGCTCAGCTCCTTCCCCCTCTCCTGTGCTTTGCTATTTGTGGTAAGTGGGGGAGGTAGTGAGATCACAGGAGGAATGAATACATTTGGAAAGATCTGCCCTCTTCTTGTCTTGTTCAGCCACAAGTAGGAAATTTAAAGGGACAAGAATAATACATTTAGGGTTTGATATACGTGTTATTTTAAAATAACTCCTCATTTGCACTCTGTGTGTTGGGGAGAACCATGTGGGTTTAATAATTTCTGTGCTATTTCCCTCACATTATTTTGGTTATGATATAGCCCTAGAAGTCTGCAGTGACAACCTAACCAGAGCATTCACAAGTGAATGTTTAAAACATTTGGAAGGGATGTGTTCTTTGAAAGCTGTTCCAAGAAAAGGGGAGAGAGGGGGATTCAGCTGACTTAAACGAGTCTTAACGTTGAGAATTTATTTAATCTATAAACATGAACTAATCAGAACATTGTAAGTGCTAATGGAAAAAATACAAAATATAGTCTTAGCAATAATAACTAACATTTATGTGGTACTTTGAGGTTTGTAAAGCACTTTATTATCTCATTTGATTTTAAAGGCAAACACTAGTAGTGTCATCCTCATTTACAGATCAGGAAACTGAGGCTTAGAAATGTTAAAGTGATAGTCAAACAAATTACAAGTATCAAAGGCCAAATTTCAATCCAAGATTTTGCTGGGTTCATGGCCAAAGCCCTTTTCACTGTGCCATGGAGTCTCTTAAGCATATGGTGGAAAATCAGGAGATCTGAGTTCTAATTATATCTCTGCCACTTGCTATGTGACTTTGGTTAAGTTACTTAATATCTGTGCTTCAGTTTTCTCTGATACAGATAACAAATAATACCTAATCTACTAATGAGTTTTTGGAAAACCAAATAAAATAACATCTGAGGTGTGGCTAAACTTATACCTCAAACTATATGTCAGAACTTATATATCTAAATGTGTACTATCTTCTCAAAGAGTTGTCGTCACTGAAAAACATCTTTAGAATCCCTCTTTTGAGACCAGCTAGGTGACTCAGTGGATAGAGCACCAACCCTGGAGTCAGGAAGACTTGAGTTCAAATCTGGCCTCAGACATTTACTAGCTGTGTGACCTTGGGCAAGTCACTCAACCCTGATTGCCTTTTAAAAAAAAAATTCCTCTTTTGGAATGACCTTAAAAGCTTTTTGGAAATACTTTGGATTGTTCTTGAGCATAGCAGATCTTTGTCCTGTGGGGTGGATTTGAGTTTGTTTATTTAAAAAAATAACCAAAATTTCATTTTTAGGCAAATCTGGTGAAATAGGTGATTACGCTATGTAATACTAGTTGTTAAATACTTATAGACATATATACATACATACATACACACATACATACACACATATACATACACATGTACACATGTGTGTGTGCACACACACAAGATTGGGCATACCTAAAGAAGCATTGAGGCAATTTTTTTATGTCTCCTAAGCTGACCCTTAGGTCAGTTCTTGAAAAGGTGTTCTAGGTAGGTTTTGAGTAAGAGTAGTACCATTGGAATAAGGTTATAATTTTGCATGGTATGGTAATCTTGATAAACAGTACTCATTCGGATTCATTTAAAAAGTAGGAATGCCTTTTAAAACTAGGAACTAGAAACCTTTTTTTTTTTAAGCAATGTTATACCTCCCATGACAAAAGGCTTCTAAATCTGGAAAAGCACTACACAAATAGGAATTGCAGTGGTGGTTCACTATGTGTTTCTAAGAGGCCACAGGCCCCTTCCTTCTTTTTCCTACCTAAGAACTGAACTTCACTAATTCAAATTAATTAAAGGGAAGGTTAGTCTGCATTAGTGAAAAGCCAGAAACATAAAATAAATGCTTTCAAAGGAATGAAAATCTTTTCAAACTTTTATTTACATGACTCCGTTCCAGCTAACAGTCTAGGTCTGGATCATGGAACTGGAAAGACCTCAAGATCATTTGGTCTTCACAGAGTCATGTGGTGATTTTTCCCAAGATCTAATTTCCCGGAACTAATGAGTCACAGAAATCATTGAATTTCCAAGAGGAAATCTGGGTCCTATTTCATTTTTCTGATAATGGAGCTCAGTCCCAGGGGATTTTTGTGATTTGCTCAAGGTCAGGTAAACAGTATTACCTGGCAGATTAGACTGTTACTCAGGTCTCCTGCCCTCTTGTGGGAGGCTCTTAGCATTGTACTATGAGGCCTTGGGCCAAGGGAAAAATGATTTGCAAGTAAGTTTCCATCTGCGTAGATAGATGCATGCTTTTTTAAAGAGCTTGCAAATGTTTTTTTCTATAGGCAGACGTTGCCCCCTGAAATCTTAGTTGTACTTCTCATTTTCCTAGCAACCCAGTTGCTATCCTAGGATAAAAATAAATTCCAACTTAGATTCTGTTCACATTCAAATGTAAAATCAAAGAATGTTTGACCTTAAAGATCACTTAATTAAAACTCCTTTAGTTTACAGATGAGGCAAATGAGTCAGTGACTGGCCCTAAATCATCTGTCAAGTTAATGACAAAACCCAGGACTAGAGCCTCCATTCTTAATTTCCAGTTCCATGGTCTTTCTACTAGAGTTCATATTAAAGATGTTATAGAATTTGAACTCACAGACTCAGCATGAAGGAGAAAGTATCAGTTTTAAATATTTTCCCTTATCAATTTTTCAAGGCCAGATTTACATGAGATTTGAGTCAATGAGCTTAATAACTTCCTCCCTAAGACTTTCCTGAATTTCTCTAACTTTCAGTCTCTGCTCTTTCGTTGTTGTTTAGTCAACACAAAATACAACTAACAAAAACACCCTCAACATTATTTTGTGCAATTGATTGGTGAGTCCTTATTATCTGCATGCAAATGCATATTTATCAAGCTCCTGGTTAGATCAAAGTGGATTGTGGAATCATCTCAGTTAATGAGATTCTTTTCTACAGATGTTTTTCATGGGCATTATTACAAAAAGGGGGAGTTATGGAGAATGGTCTTGATAGGAAGAAGATCAATATGTAAGACCAATATTTGTAGGTAATGGCAGAAGGGACAGATGGACAAGGGTCAGAGAAAAAGATACACAATCTTAGAGGTGATGGTTTGCTAATGATAATAGCAATAATAGATAAAGCATTAAAATCTAAGTCCACTAGTCAAAATGGAAAAAATTCCTCCTTTATTAACTCATTTCTATAGCGTTCTCTGCTAAACGGATACCCAGGCCTTTGCTTCTTCATCATGTGTCATTCCTTGGCCAGAAGGGGTCACTAAAGGACTTCCTCTCTCCTAGAGGCCACTTTAACTTCGTCCATGCCGCCTGCATCGTAGGGCCAGTTGAAACAACTTCATTGTTTGCCTAACACTATGATGCAACTATAAAAGCCCAATCAGACTGTCTCCTAACTTTTTTTTTTTCAAAAACTTGTAAAATCTTATAATGCATCTTGGGGACAGGATTATGCATTATCTAATTTCTCACCTTCCCTTCTCCAGAAAATGGGAGAGGTGGGGTAGAGAATGGAATAAAAATAGTTAACGAAGTATGTGCTAACATATGAGTATGTCTGTCTTTAGAATAGAAGGTTCTGGAGTTTGAGATCTATGTCTTTAAGTACCCTATATCCAAAGTATAAGTAGGATAATTACGATGCCTTTGGGAGAGGGGTGGGTTAGATAACTGATAATTGGGCAACTAGAAGGAGCATTTTGGTTTTAAATTTTTCAAAATCCTGCACATAGTTTTATTAAGTTTAAAAATGCTGTGTTGAAGTCTTATAGTTGGTGTGTTCTCTCTTAGGTTGGCACTGTTGAAAAAGAGTGGAGAAGAAGACTGGAAAACCCGACTTAGCAAGAAGCAGGACTATAGCAAAGTGTGTGTCACTGAGCGGAGCACCCGGCTGCTAGATTCTGAGCAGTCGTTCAAGAAGAAGGTAAGTTGCCCATGTTAGGAAAGGCATTTTGCTTCGGACCATGCTTGGAAAGGCATCAAGCAGACAAGCACGCCTAATCTCACTAACTGCTACTTTGGGAAGCATTCACATCATCTTGGCTTTGGGGCCCCACATGGAAAAGCACAAGTTTGTCACCGGCTGCCAACAATAGCTATTTTTGACTAAACTAGAAAGGTAGCCTCGTTAAGTTTTCTGGAATCAGTATCAGCATCTTATCGTGCTTCAGCAAGCATAGAGGTTTTCAAAATGGTCTTGATGTTTGGTATCCATTTGATAAAAGGCCAGCTTTGGAAATTCAATAAATTATTTATAAGGAAAAGTGTTAGTGAGTCATCCTGTGCAAGTTTTACCTAAGGTATGGACTTGGAATTCTTCTGCTGTGAGTGTGAAGCTTGCAAGATGAGAAAGTTGCCATTGGTCAGAACCTAGCTCAGTCTTTAATGAGTTTCTTCCTGAGTAGTTAGTTACCTGTCCCCCATTGTCCTGAGATTTGTCAACTGAAAAACTTTGTGAAATGTCTGCAGAGTTATTCTGAAGTTGACCAATACATAGGTGCCAACTCCTGGAAGTATTTTAGAGGCAACATTTTCAACACATTATCAAAATACAACAGGGCAGCCTGGAGTTGTAGGTAGTGGGCCAGACTTGGAGTCAAATAGACTTGGATATAAATCCTACCTTTTTGTACATTTTACTCAGCAACTAATCACAACTTCCTTAGGACTTCCTTTATAGTTTTTCCCAGGTTTTTTTTTTAATCCCATATTGTTAATTAGCTTGTTCAGCTGTGTGACCCCTCCAATCACTTAGTCTCTGTACTGAGGGAATTCTTGAAGACTAGGAAGTCTCTTCTACCTCAGTGGAGGCAGTTTCCCACCTACTTAAGTCAGACTTATCATTCACTTGTGCTTTTTAATATTTCGTGCCTACCTTCAGCACCAAGATTTAGTCTGCTAACTGATGTAATTATTTGAAATGAAATGAGAAAATACATGTCACCAATCTGGAAAAATAAAAGTCTTCAAAGACAAAACAGCATGAATGTGCTTCTAACTCCATTGATAACTGTGTGGTATCTAGCTCTTAAAAAAATAAAAAAGATTATTCAGTGAAGGGATAGGCACAAAAGCAACTGTTCTGTATCAGGAAAGTTCATAGAGAGAAACAAGTTGCCAAGAGAAGGAGCTGCCAAGATCTTCTGTGGCTTCATTGGTAAATTGGGAAGGCAATATTTGGCCAATGGACAGGACCAAAGATAATGACTAAAGTGCCTGAGCAGTTAGGTGGCTCAGGAACTCAGTGATGGACCTGGAGTCAGATAATTTACTAGCTGTGTGACATAATAGTGTCGTTGTTTAGTCATTTTCAGTCATGTCTGACTCTTCATGACACCTTTTGGGGGTTTTCTTGGCAAGATATGGGTATGGTTGCTGTTTCCTTCTCCAGTTCATTTTACAGATGAGGAAACTGAGGCAAACAAGGTTAAGTGACTTGCCCAGGTTCACACAGCTAGTGAGTGTCTAAGACCAGATTTGAACTCGGGTCTTCCTGACTCCAGGGCCAGCACTCTGTTTACTGGACACAGCTGTCATACTAGCTGTGTGACCCTGGGCAAATCACTTATCCCCCCTTAGCCCTTCCCCATTTGCAAAAGGGGAATAATAATGGTACCTAGCTCACCAGGGTTGTTGTGAACGAATGGGATAACATATAAGCACTTTGCAAACCTTGAAGTGCTCCATAAATGCTAGCTATTTTTTTTTTATTTAACTCAATGGTTCTTAAGTAGAATTGGCATCCATTTGATAAAAGACTAGCTTTGGAAATTCGATAAATTATTTATAAGGAAAAGTGTTAGTGAGTCATCGTATGCAAGTTTTACCTAATGTCTGGACTTTTCTTGAGTCGACTCAATAGTTCTCAAATAGAAATAACATTCTATCAATCATGAAATCAAATGTGGGATTCTCCTGATTTTCAGGTTCCCCACTCCCCTTGCCCCCAGGGAAAGAAATTTAAGGCTCTGGAGTTTAATTTTCCCCTTCCCAAGATGCTTCGTTTGAAACTGTCTTTACATCTCTGTGTTTTAAACACTTTGATATCTCGAGTTACTGATTTCATTATTGTGCATTCTCCCTCCCCGACCCCTCCACCCATGCAGCCCCTCGGTAACTTGTGAGTTGCTGTAGCTAGAGGGCTCGTTGCTTGCAGCCAGTCTAGCCTGTTGATGCTATCAGACTCGGCTCAGCTTAGCAGTGGATGACAGACATGCTGCCCGTCGCCAGGCCACCATAGTCGGCCGTTTCCTCCCGATCCCTGTCTACTTGAACAATTCAGGGCCCGCCCCTGCCCCACCAGGAGTAGGATTTTAGTGGCAGGACTTTAGTAGAAGTATCAATGTCTGCCATGTGCTCAATCCATTCACAAGATATCAATTACCTATGTGCAAGGCACAGTGTTGTGTCCTCCCGTGGGAGACTGGATGTGGGGTGCTACCCCACAAGTGTCTTGAAGTCCCTTAGAGGAAGACAAGACAAGTGACAGTGAGGTGCCATGGATAAAGCATGGCTCTGAAGAGTTCAGAGGCCCTGGGTTCATATACTGCCTCTGTCATGTACTACCTGTATGTTTTGGGGCACCCTTTCGTGGGCCTCAGTTTCCACATCTGTAAAATGAGGTGGTTGGACAACAAGGCCTCTGAGGTCCCTTGCAGCTCTAAGTCTGTGTTTCTGCGGTCCTGTAGGAAAGACCCCAACCAGTAATTAGTTGCAAAGTGAAAAGGACTCAGCACATGAATAGTATTAAAGGAAATGGAGAGGGGTACAAGGTTACTTCAGGACACATCGGCTGGGAATGGATTGAGGTGGCTCCAGGAGAAGGGCTAAGATTTCTAGGTAGATGGAGAAGAATCGGGTTATGTGAGGCAAAAGGAGTGGTGGGGGCCCAGAGACAAGGAAACCTGGACAGGATAGCCAGGCTTTCTATCCACGAGAGTAGCGATGTCTGTCCCAACTCTGTGGCAATAGTGAACACGCTATTGCTACCACTCATCAGAGACCTCATTCCCTGGGCCTAACTCAGTCTAATGCTACTTTGAAGTTAAAATAGGCCAAGCTATTTTGGTCAATTGTAGGGGCTATTGAAAGCGGTTAGGTTCTTATGAGGACAAGGAGCTAACTGATGGCACCTGTCTGGGCACTGGCTTGCTCCCTTGCCAGATGAGCCCAGTGCATTCAGAAGAAGCTGTGGCAGCAGCACTGGGGACGGGTGCTTAAATCTGAGCTTTCCCCAGCAAACCCTAAAGGAGAAACATCTAAGAAATACTCAGTTATCATCCCACGCTGCAACGTCACCAAGCTAGCCACATTTGTCCAGCAAAAGGAATGATATTTGTGATATGTGATCCTTCCAAGTAAGGTTGTTGGACTCCATGTGGGCTACGCTTGTCAATGGCGAGCTGTTCCCTAGGACAGGTGCTGGCTGGGTTGCATGGCTTTTCAGAATAGATAGCCTGGCTTCCCAGTTGAGGGATTAAGAGTTAGTTTGTCATCTGATCCACAATTTCCAAACTCCATCCAGAGCCCTAACTCAACGGTTGCCGAGCTTTTTGTTACTGCCTCATGCCTTCCCTCAGGTTTTCATATTTGCTGGTATAGATGAGGCTAAGTCCTTAAAGTGTGAGAATATCTTATTTACCAACTGAATTTTGTTATACTTTGCATCTAAAGATCATCTATCAGCTGAAGGGTAGCAGACTCCTGAGGGAAACTGACCAGATTTTGGAATGAAGAGAGAGGGGACATCATAAACACTGCAGTGAATTTTTGGGTTTGCTTAAATTTTTATAGTCATTATGAGTTCCCCAGAAGAACTAAGGGAAATCTGATACATCATTAAAAAAAGAAAGAAAGGAAGAAAGAAAAATCTTGGCAAAGGAGTTAATCCAAAACCAAATAAAATATGTTACTTTGACCAGCCTCATACTTCCAGTCCAGTGGATGATAAGAAAAAGTTCCATGGGCCATGAGTACATATTTGGAGCCAACATTAGATTTTCCATTCAAGTATTAAGTGATCTATCACCTTAAAGAGAAGGTGTAATGTGGTGGTAGCTGTTGCTTTCCAATTTCATTTTTAAAATGTAGGATTGAGGATTTGGGGCTTAAAGACACTACTAATCATTTGTCTAGTTGTCTGATGGCATTCCCTTGGAATAACACTTTGGGCTTATTTCTTTTTTCCTTTTATTGTTTAAGGATATGCCAAAAGTTAGAAGCATTTGATTTTTTTTTT